TGCTCTTGAAGCTCTTGTTGATTTACATGGGTGCTAATCTCTAAGGCCAAGAAACAGAGTAACAGGTTTTGTGCTCTTACGTGTGCAAGATGTCTTTTCTTCCATGCCTGGGAATTAACTTTCTTTTCCATACCATAGCAGAAGAACATATGAGCCTTACTGAAAGGGGAATACAGCATCATTAAAATAAAGATGTGCCTTTTCACATGTAAATGTACAGCAAATGCCTAAACTTGAACCATTTCCTAGTGCCTTGCTGGACAAGAGAGAAGAGGGGAGGGGATTAGGGGGATAAGGGTGTTATGAGAGAGCTTGACTTGTGCAGTGTGTGTGTGTGCGTGCGTGTGTGTGTGTGTATTTTTTTTTTAAATGTTCAACCTTCAGTGCAAAATTTTGAAAGACAGTACTTCAGAAGCTCCTGGGTTTCTCTGTTAAACTGATATCGGTAATGACTGGGCTTTTTTGTCACTCTTAATAGGAAGACTTGGAAATTATGGTAGCTTTATCTTGGTTTGGTACAGTATATCCACTAAAGCTATACCAGAGGATGTCTTGGTTGGCTTTTAGATGTTTCACTTCATGGTGAAGGCTCATGCATTTCACCTACATCCAAGATTCTGCATTTTGTTCTAAGTATCCAAATCAGAAGTATTCCCAAAGGCATATCAAATCTGTAGTAGAAGTGTCTTTCAGAAAGTCAATGCCTTGCATAACTGGGAAACACTTAAAAGGTGTGATTTAGTCTCTAATACAGAAGTAGCAAGAAAGCAATTTCTATGCATAAGGCTAGTTCCTTTCCAGGAAAGTCTCAGTCAGCAAACTTTCCTGCTCCCCTAGCAGGAAGCTGCTGTGTTGAGACATCAATATATTGAAAGTCAAATAGGCACCACCAGCAAGTAGTACTGCAAGAACAGGGTGCTCTTGTAGCTATTCTAGAATCCTCATAGTAGCTATGCAGGCTTACCCCACTTAGCTCTTTCTCCTACCCCCTAAAAGTCATATGGGACAATCACGTAACTGCTGTGTAAAAAGGGAGAAGCTTTCATTTCAAATCATCTTTCAATATATAGACAGAGAAGCCTAATATAGGCTGGCTTTGCTAGCACGTGGGATTCAGGTTGCATCTGCATCCACTCTGGGTGCTGCATTTCATGTCGGTATTCCCCTTCTATGTTTCTAACCACTCACAACAAAGGAGCGTGATGGTGCTAAACCAGTCACTATCTGACAAGCAGAAATCCAGGTGTGGCTCCCATTCTAACAGAATTATTCAGCATGGGAAGCTGTTTAAACTGGTAGCAAGCTGTTGTTGTTAACATGGTGAATAGCTTTAGGTTAATCTCGGTGTCTGTGGGGTGTCTGGGGGGGTAGCGTTAAAAGGCCTTTCACGGGATATAGTAAAAGGGGAGCCGACTGGGAGACAGGAGTACTGAGACCTGCTCCCAGTTCCCAGTGACCTGTTGTTTGACCCTAAGCAAGGCAAGTCTGCTGCAATTTCCCGGCCTATGTACTATTTACCTTGAAGTGTTTTATTTGCAGACCTAGTGAGTGCTGTGTCCATATCTTAAGACAAGCTGCAGTTCTTCACCTGGTTGGAATGGAGGGGAGAGATTCAATGGGTGGAGAATGGGAAAGCTGACACCTGAAATTTGCAGCAGCATTCATCACTGACATGTCCATTGAATTCATTTCACATTCCTCATTAGCCAGTCAGATTTGCCTTATCCACAATATAAATTTAAAGTGTAACTGAAACTAACTGACCTCCGGCTCTGATTGTTTATTCTTAGTGTCATGCTTTAACTTGGAGATCTGTGTATAAAACTAGACAATGACAGATTATGGAAATCCTAATAAAAATCCTATGTCTGGTTTTTGGCTCTGCCTCTGCTAGCTGAGTATGGTCCCTTATTCACTTTATTCTGAGCTTTCTTGATGCTTCTGTATTACCCAGAAGGCTTCAATGGTTCCAGCAGATGTGAGGGATTTGGAGGCTTTATTTAAAGCCACTGGATCTTTGTGGTCTCCAAACTAGTAGTTCAACTCTAGGAAAAAAAGTTCTAACTAGTCCTAATAGTTCTAAAAGTCCCAATTAGCAAGCAAGCAAATGTGAAAATTGGACAAGGAAACAAGATAAAAACTGATCAGGCTAACAGACTAAAACATTTTAGCCCTTATGAGAACAGTAACAAATAGCTTTAGCCTCTAGGGTGATGAATGGAGTTAGTTTTAAAATGCATTTTCCAGGATCTTGGTGATAAGGTCTAAGTTTGTCTGTTCCTTGTACTGCATGCGTTTTATCTGTAAAACTGGATGGTGTCTTTTGAACCGGTGTATATTTATTTCTGTGCATATTAGGACCAACAACATAATATCTGGGTGGTAAAGGACTCTAGCACTTTACTGTAGTAGCTTTCATAAATCGGGAATCATTGATAGAATGCCTAGTGTTTTTAAAGTTGAATGGACTTCCTTTTATAATATATTTAAAATAAATTTTTAATGTGTTTTCTGAAGCTGTGTATGCAGATATGACTGTCCCTGCCTGTTCTACTCCACTGACTGACTTCCTTTTTCTTTGCTACTTAAAGAACAAGCTTAGTTACCCTTGTCTGGTGTTTCCTCAGCATAGGTTTCCTCCTGAGTTACGCGCCGCTCTCCTCTGCCCTCCTTGGGAAATGTGCTTTCCTGCTGCCCTTTGCATTGGGCATCAATTGCAAGCTTTGCTGTGCTCATGCATGAGTGCCCAATTAGCTCATGTCTGAGAGCTGTGTTGGGCATACATGACGAGTTTAGGTAGCTGGGGGCTGCAGTGGTGCCTGTGTTGGCCGAGGCCATGAACTGCCATGTGCCCGTCACAGCTGCTTCCCCAGCCAGCTGTTAAATCACTGGGAACACCCCATTGCTCCCCAAAAGGAGCCTGCAGTGCCCTGGCTCAGACATTTAAGAAAGAGCAGCAGCCACTAGGGGAGGAGGCACACGAGAAGATACGTAAGGAGACGCACAGGGGACGCTGGAGGAGACGTGTGGCTAAAGACATGTTTGTACAAGGAGGCGCTTCTGGCCTGAGGGACTCTGGCCCATGAGCAATGCATGCTGGGGCAGGGACCCACACCAGGGTGGGGATGTCCCTGAGAAGGCTGGCCCACACCAGGGTGGGGACACCCCTGAGGGACTGTGGCCTGCTGGCAGCCATGCCAGGGCAGGAACAGTAATAAGCACAGAGGAAAGGAGGAAACCTAGTAGGAAGCAGAGGCCGTTACACACACAGCCTTGACCTCCCGTGCTGCTGTTGCCTCACCCAAGGAATTGGGATAGTCTGAGCGTAACCTGCGGCAAAAGCAAAGGAAGTTGAGACTAGGAAGGGGGGAAGATAGGTGTTTGGCCTAAGATGAGCCAGGGGAAGGAGGAGGAAAGATCTTTACAAAAGCATTTATTTAATTGTTTTTTTTTTCTTCATACCCAAATCAGTGATTAGGAGTTTGTATTAAAAAATTAAACAAATTAAAAAGTTAAACAACAATTTCCTGAGCAGGGACTGCTGCCTGTGATGCTCTTTCTTTACACGATGGTGCATCATCCACCACAGCGCGTGGGTAAGTACTTTAGAGAGGCTGGGGTGGAACGGTGCTGAACCTTGCAGACGCTCTTGTTCCCCTCGTGTAACACTGCCACACTGTCATGCCCGTATGGTGACCCCTTGCAGTCCCTGCTGGAGCACGAGCCTTGCTGCCCTCTCACAACCAGAGCCCTGCAGGGGAGCCGCTCTGAGAGAGGACCCTGGGGCAGGAGACTCCATGCCTAGGATGGTCTCCCTGAGTCTGTCACCAGCCACAGATTTAAGGTACTGCAAAAGGCTTTTCTCATAGCCAACTTGTGTTTACTGCTGAGATATACAGCCGTGAGAATAAAAGGTTAAAACCACCTGAGCCATAATGCATCTTGTCTGAACTGCCCTTTGTTGCAGTTTGGGAGAGTTCAGCGCCACACGACTATTGCACAGCTTAGGGCTGGGTGAAACTGGCCCTTTCCTTTCTCTGCATCTCTGCCTTGGGAGGAATTGCTGGTCCATCCATCTTATTTCTTAACTCCATGGAGTCAGGCCAAAAAACAGTGAAATAAACTGAGGGGGAATACAGACAATAGCATATGTGAGAACCTGCATGCGTGAGGGAAGTGGAAAGCCTCTTCCTCCAAGGAGCAACAGACAACCGCAAGGAATGCGCCTAATGGAAGATTATGTGCCGTGGTTCTTGACCGTGGGAACACTTCCCCTGTGGGGGACGTGCCAAAAGCTGTGAGGTGCTAATGCACCTCACGTTTAAGCATTTTAGCAGTGTCATCATGGGCTCGATGTAGGCCACCCTAGAAAAATGTTAAAGAGAATGGGAGTCTGGGGAAAAGGATACCACAGCAATGTTTCCCTGGGCCCCTAAGGTACAGAAAACTGAAATGGTCTGATGATACCTGTCTGGAGGTAAAAAGGCTTCTTCCAAGGACAGGAATATCTTCAGCAGTACAGATCGTTCAGAGATAGCATTTCTGTCCCAAGAACTCTAAATGACTCAATTAAAATAGTAGGTAGCAGAAATGATGGCTACATAGTGGACTTGTTTTAGAGGGTAGTGCTGCTCCAGTTAAGATTGAAAGGTCTGTGCAAGTTTCCCTAATTTGATTAGGGAAATTTGAGGGCTGACTTAGATGGGGAAGCTATTACAGCTTCAAAGGCACTAAAACTGCCTCTGTGCTGATGGGTTTATGAAACATTGTTTCTCACTTCATTGCTGCTCCCACAAAGAATTATTAGATGAGGTTAGTGATAGATACCTAATAAAAAAATGTCTCTATGAAGCAGTTTATTTTACAGTGAGCTAGTTCCAAACTAGCAGACTGTCAAATCTTGAGATTCTCATGAGGATGTGCTGAAATGAACTGCAATTATATGAAGATGTCCATGTACTTTTTTTCCAGACTGAAAAAAATGTATTGTTGTTTTAGCCTGAGCTAACACAAAATTTAACATTTAATTAGCAAATAGACAGTGACAAGAGCAGCTTTTGCCCGTAGCAGGCATTGCAAAACAACTTAGAAAAAAAAAAAATTCATTTGCACGGGACAAAAAGATGTAGCCCAAAATGAAATACAATGTGAAGGTAAGCACCAACCTGCTCTGGCACTGACTGTGCTCGTTGTTCAAGCCATTCCCACTGTCCCTTGCAGCAGTCCATGCAGCACCTAGAGAATTTTCTCTCTCGCAGGGGCATAAGGAACTCGTGCCTTTTGTGCACATTCCCTCTAACCTACTTGCTCGCTGCTATTGTTATCTGTCCGTACAGTCTGTGCTTTCAGTTTCCAAAATGTCAAGATAGCTCTCCTGCTGGACAGTCTAAGACTTCTTCAGCCTGCTACTTGAGATTTATTTGTAATGTTATAAAGAGAAACCTAGAAAGCTCACTATCAAGAGCTCTGAGACCTCCACGCAAGTGCTGTCACCAGCAGCAGTGGTGTTTTCCTTTTTCCCAAAAAGGGATCTGTATGTTTCTTGCCAGAAGGGGTAATACTTAAGGCAAGCAATTTGGATAAGGGCCTGAGGGTAAACTTGTTTGCTTTCACTGCATTCCTATTGGAGTGGTGAGCTTCTGTGAGCGTTGTCCCCAGGGGAGCACGCTGTGGTTTTCTAGCAGTCACAAGGACAAACAAATTATTCAGTGGCTGAGTGCATCAGCAATAAAAACTAAGACAAAAAGGCAGAACTTGAGAAAGAGCATTAGGACTGTGCCCTGTACTTGCGATTTATTCTGAGACACATTTATCATTGCAAGGGCAGCCTGAAATACGTTTCCAGTGTTTCTCAGTCTTCTTGTTGGGAGCAGGCAGGACAGGTTGCAAGATGCCTTGTGTCAGGGTTACTGTGAAGCAGGCTGATCTGATCAAGGGCTTTGAATGGCCTCTTTCTTTCAAAGGTCTTTTGTGTGTGCAAATTCAACACAGTTCATCCTGTACTAAAGCATTTTGTTCCACATGCGTGATTTAGGACTTCAAAGATATTCTGTTCTAGAGAACTTATTTCTGTTTGTGCAAAATGTCTTTTCTTCTGGAAGACATAGTCCTTTCCCATTTGCAGCTGCCCACACACCTTCGACAATAGCACATGCTGCCTGGTATTACAGAGGTGACAGCATTTCTCCATACAGCAGTAGGAATTCAATTTCTTTGTGAAGAGAAAACGAATGCAAAGCTTCAAGTCAGATTGCTTTGGGAAACACTTCTCCAGGTCCAATCATTTCACCATCTTTGCCTTTTAAGTAGGAAAAAAAAAAAGGAAGAAAGAAGAAAAAAAATCTTTAATGTTTCAGCCAGGAACTCCTGCCTATGCTAGCTAGGTGCTAGCTAGGTCAGGAGCTTCACGTGACGTCCCAACCAAGAACAGGTACTTGCAGACCATGTCCAAGTAAGTTTTTTTTTTTTTTTTTCACAAAGGGGACTGTGCCAGAAACGCACATTCAGCAATTCAGCCTATCTGTTTTCTTTCGTGGTGTATTAGAGCGATGCTGATTCAGCTTTTGCCACGCAGAGGAACGTCGGGTTGTGAACCTGTGGCCCACAGACTGCGACGGGCAGCGCTGCAGCCAGAGGCTGGGGGTGTCTCCAGTGCGCGAGGCGGCG